TGCTGAACCCGCCCGCAAGCTTCTCAATAAAGCCTGCTTCTAAAACTTTACCAATTGGATCTTTAATTCCGTTTCGCGCCCCAAAAACCCTTACAAATATTACAGAGACACACAGTGTTTTCTGTGTGGCATGACCAGCCCTTTCTTTGGTGCTGCATTAAGCTGAACTGCTGCAGTTTTTTAAAAGTGAATTTTACCGATCCCCCCACCCCCCCTAGAAAACTCCAACTTGAGGGGGGCAGGTTAAGCATATGAGTTCAGAAATTTTCACCAAATGGTTTTAGAAAGACAGAAATTTTTGCTAAGTATAGCCCTCATGTCATTTCCAGAGCTTGCCGATCGCACCCATCCGGAAAGCGTGTGCTCAGAGCAAAACCAGCTGTGAGGCTGAAGTGATGGAAGGTTTACACACCAAGAGGCTTCTTATCCTCAAAGCCCACCCTGGGTCCACACCTCCAACTCAGCCAAGGTGCTGGGAAGATCTCCCATAAGAAACCCAGAGCCCCAGAGCCAGTTCTCAAATGTCTCTCCTCATCATCAGAACAAAAGCCCCTTTGAGACAGGGAAGTAAATCGACAGTGGCAAACTTAGGGCTATTTCCACAGTTGGAGAAAGGAGGGTAGACAAGAGACAAGCGAGAGGGGCTGGGAGTAGGGATGGGCTCTGTCGCCCAGTGTTGAAGGTCTGATACAAAGCACAGGCTAACGATTCCCTTCTCCGTAACCACTACCGGGCAGTGCAGTTCACGGTCCCTCCAAGCAATTTCAATACCGTTCTTTCCGTTTTTTCTTTACAGTTGGATTCATTTTGAGTATTGAGTTTTTTGGGGGCCCCCTTAGACGAATTCACCTGCATTTGAAAAGCGCCACCCATCTGGTGGCCAGGCCAGTTTAGGGGCAGCTGCTGGCCTTCAGGATGACAGCTCAGCGGCCACAGCAGGGTCCCTAAGTGGGTCGCCCAACTCACCTGGGATCGCAGTCAATGAGGGCCCAGCCCCCGTGGAACTTCTCGTCCTCGGGCAGCAGCAGCTTCATGTAACTCTGTAAGAGCTGGCTAATCAGCTCCTGGTGGCTCCTCTGGTTTGCCGTGTGCAAGGCCTCGTGCTCTTTCTCCTTGGTAAATATGGAATACAGATCCTCGGTGACGGGGATGCCTTGCATCAAGTCTAAGATGGGAGTGTTAACAGCCATTATTATTCCCACTTACTGTTGTACTTAATAATAATAACAACAAAGCTACAAAGGATAAAAATCTTAGAAGAAAACACAGGTGTAAAGCTCCATGACCTTGGCTTAGGCATCGTTCATTAGACAAAACACCACAAGCACAGCAACAAGAGAAACCCAGACAAACCAGGCATCTCGCGAAGGTGAGTATCATAGAATGCCAATTTAATAGAAGAAAGTATTCTTGTGTTGAGGGAGTACTTGAGTGGAGGCCCAATGTCCTTCTGCTACCTT